AGTGAACAAACAGGCTCCGTTTTGCCATCTCCTTCCTAGAAAACTCAAGCTGTGCCCCATGCAGCTCCAGCCCAGCATTTGCTTTCCACTCTTTTGGATCACTCAGATTTGCTTCCAGATATTTTCCTTGAGCATCTTTGAGAAGACATCCAGCAAAACAAGGAGGGACCTCTGCACACAGATGGAAGAAGGCACATCTTGTGGTTAAGGAAGAGGCAGCTCCTGCAGGGGAAGAGGTCCCTTATCTCCATGTGAAACCCTGAAGATAATGGTTGAGATATCTGGAAAACATCTGGGAACTGAAGCACTCCCATGAGCCCACACTGGTGCTGCAGAGGAGGGATTGAACAGTGGGCAGAGCCCAACGCAGCCCCAAAACTTTCTGAGAATAGGGTTTGGGTTTTGATGAGCCCACACTGGTGCTGCAGAGGAGAGATTGAACAGTGGGCAGAGCCCAACACAGCCCCAAAACTTTCTGAGGATAGGGTTTGGGGTTTTTTTTTCCTGGAGTGTTTTTGTTTCTTTGTTTGCCAAGGATTTCAGAAGTGCTTGAAGCATTTGTGCCTGTGGAAGGGAGATGGACTCTCACTGCAGAGGGTGGCTCTGCCCAGGAGGGACCAGCCCAGCCTCTAAGGTAGCTGTTCCCTTGCAGAGCCTCACTGTCTGGTTTGCATTATGGGGGAAGTTTTTAGCAAATTATTGCTCCTTTCTGCTCTGTTTCCATCAAAGAATGGGCAGAGGCCTCCCAGCAGTGTGAGGACAGATCTTTTTTTTATTTTGGAAAAGAGCACAGATTTCTGGGTTTTTTTTGGTTGCCTTGTTAACACACACTTGACACTTATCAAGCTGCTCTGCATCATTTACCTGACACCACTGGTGGGGGATTTATTGCTGGCAGCTTGGACTGTGGGCCATGGTTTCATTTCAGAGGAGGCTGTGAGGGTTTGGTGATGTTGAGCCCTGCCAGATTCTGTGGGCAGTGCCTGGGATACACTCAGGTGGCTTTTCTGAGGGCATTCACCCCATTTCCCAGAGCAGCCCCATCAGGATTTCCCCCAAGACTAGGATTGGATGTTACCTGCAGGGCTGTGGTTTGCAGGGAGATAGATTTTAATGAAACCTTAATTTTCCCTCCCTTGTTAAAATAGGGTTTTCTGGCTGAACAAGACACTTCTGGCTCTGAGGCCATGCAGGATGAGGCCTGGATGTGTAAATTATTTCCAAATGAGAACAATTAGTCTTGCAAACATTAGAAAATAATCATGTCTCATCAACGTTGCTGTTTAGTGCTTGTAAGAAAATTGTAGAAGCTGTTTGGTTTTGTTTGGGGTTTTTTTTTAATGATGCAAAAAACTATCACGTAGTAACGAAAAAGGGTTTTCTGGTTTGCATGTAGCCATGGAGCAAAGCGAAATTTGTGTTGGACAGCACTGAAGCAGCTTTTTCCAAACTAAGAAACAGAGAGAATTATTAGCAAAGGATTGTTAATAAGCATGTCGATGCTGAAAAGATTATTTATTTTGAAGTGCAGGGCTGTTCCCCTGTGCAGCAATCCTGTCCCATTCCAGTGAGGCCATCCATGCTATACAAAGTTAAACATGAAACTATTGTGATAAAAATGATCCTGATGCTTAAACATGACAGCTCCTGGTGGGAATGAGTCCAGTGCTGTGTTGTGCATGATTCTGGGGTCTCACACCAGTGACCCAGAGGTCAGGGCTGGTGCAGGATGCTCCCACCCAGGACTTGTCCAGGTTCCCAGTGGTGAGAAGTGTGTGTGGGATAGTTCTTTGCATGACCAATTTCATACTCCTTACAGGTCTTGAAAGTCAGTAATAAATTATTTTAGAGTTATACATCATAATCATGAATGAGTTATAGAATAAATGATGTGGTATTGGATAGAGTAGGAATTTATCTTATAAAGGTTTCTGGTCCTTCTGCACCAAGGACTTCAGGGAGGGAGGAGGGGGCAGCAGTAACTGGGGATGAAGTGACATCCCAGAACACCTCTTGTACTCGTTTTTTTCTCAGTTAGTGCCAGTGGTTCTCAGCTGCTATTTAAAGGATTCACAGTTCATTTTTCATTTCTCAGTCCCTTCTCTCCCCTTTCCCTTCAGCTGGGAGCAGCCACAGCAACCTGGCTGCCTTCCTCCACTTTCCTTCTGATGGGTCTGGCAGGGCATGCTTGGCCACAGCTTTTCCCAGAGCTTTCTTCTCACACAAAAATGTGCTGAGGAACTGCATTGCCAGCAGACACTGTCCAGCCTGGGAGGATTTACAGCGTGGCCCATAGGAAGGGCTGGTCCCTGCTCCCTGGCTGTGCTGCAGACCAAGCTGCCTAATGACCCAAGGCTCTTTGCTGGGAGACTAAAATATCACCGTGCTCTTTTGTTCTGACACTTTCCTCCTCCTTCAAATGTGAGACTTTACACTTTTTTGAAACCACAGAGACAGAGATGGAAGGCACCACTTTGAATCTGGTAAAATTTGACTGCAGGGTTCCTTCCGACCCCTGTGCTAATTTTTAGCAGAGCAGGAAACATTAAAAATAACCCTGAGAGAAGATTTCCCAACTCAGAAGGATTGTCCTCTTAATAATCTCTGGCTTTGTTTTTACTAAATATTTTCCCCCTTTAAAATTCCTGTAATGCTGCTTGAGCAAGTACATCCCTGACAGGAAGGCAGAGGGCCAGGTAGCCAGGCTGGCACCTCAACTTGCTCTGAGCCAGAGGCAAGTGATGTATGTGGGAAATGGTTAATATTTATTGGGAGAGGTTTTGCATGTGAATCGGAGCCTGCAAGCTCCACATCTTCCCTTTTTTGTGAACTCCAAACTGTTCTCAAGCCTTTAGCTGATCTCAGCAATGGATGAATCTCATTTCTGCAGTGTGAGGTGGCATTTTGGTGCTGAACCTCAAGATCCTGAGCTACTGTGAAACTAAATGAAAAACTTTCAGAGTTTATTTTGAAACATATCTGAATGTAGCCCCTTACACTGAGGCTGAAATGTTGTGTGGCCAAAGCAAGGCATGTGTCAAGAGTACATGATGTAGTAACAAGCTCTGCTCAAGTTCCAACATCAAGTTCCATTCAAATAAAAGACAGTAACGATCTCAACACATGGGTACTCCTGAGAGCTGCAGGCAGTCAAGTCAGCCAGCCCAGATTTCAGATGCTCTCTCCTGCTCTAGCTGCCTGCAAGAACTCTGCCTTGCTCCCACAGATGTTTGGCTGGGCAGGTAGAGCAGAGACAATTAAATCTCCAGCCCAGACTAAGGAGACATTTAAAAGTCTGTGTTCATCATGTCCATTCAGTGCCATGGCTGGCCAAGAGCCCCTTTGAAATCCTGATGGATATTGTTTTTCTCAAACATTAAATGCTTTCCCTCAAACAAACATCCTCTGAATAGGCCATTGTTTTTCCTTCTGGATGTCCCTTTGTGGACTGATACAAGAATAGCTAAAAGCTGATGAATTGGTATTGTATATTAAAAAATAAATAAATTCTGGGGCTTCTGCTTCTCTGAGAAGTTGAATGTGCTGCCAGTTCTCTGCTCAGGTCCCATGTCTTGTCCTCTAAAGGTCAGGGAGCTTCAGGTGAATCATCTCCACTTAAGCTGCACTAAAAAAGATTCACTCTAATCAGTTCCCTAAGAAATACAGACAACTTTGGTGCTTTAGTGTTGTGCTGTACCATTGTCCAAACTACATTTGCTTTGGTAGGTTCTCCCAGTTTACAGGGCTGCATGTATAGCCCTTGATTTGCTATAGGTGATGACAAGAACAAGGCTGGGTTGGGTTTGAGCTCTTGGGAGCAGCACCTGGCCAAGCTCTGGTGCTGGGTCAGGCTTTGCTGCAGAGATGTTCATCAGCATAGCCTGTGGCTCACTCTAGAGCAGACCCTCACCCAGTGAAGCATGTGAGCACATGTTGGAAATCTGGGGGTGAAAGCAGGTGCCCAAGGGCTTTGCTGACTTGCAACCATTGTGCCATGTCTTTTCAGGAATAGATGCAGGACTGAGCCTTTTTGGGGCTTAAAGGGGGAAAGTTCTCAAGTTTGTGGATCAGTGGAAGTGCAGTTATCTAGGACTTACTGTAACATGTGCCTGTCCAACTGGAGTTCTCAAGTTTGTGGATCAGTGGAAGGACTTACTGTAACATGTGCCTGTGTGCCAGGTCCAACTGATGGCAGGGGCAGCTCTGGCCTTAGAGCACCACAATTAGAGCTCTGTCCTTCCTCCCCACACACATCAAGGTTTCCTATAGCCCAACACACTCAGCAGTTACTTGTTAATTAAGGGCTTAAGTGCCAGAAATGGTGTGGAATTAATCAGTTTTCATGTCAGTTTACCATGCAGCAACCCTGGAAAGAACTGGAGTAACCAAGTGCTTGGTCCTGCAGATACAAGTGCACTTCTAGCTTTGTATCACTGCAGATGAGCAAAGCACAGAGGTGTCAGCCCTTGGGGCAGATTCACTCTGCCTTTCTCCACCACAAGACACCCCTTGACACCAGTGAGACTTACCAGTATGGACTAAGGGTTGATACTCACATCTTGGGTAAACTGGTAGAGTTCCAGCAAGTCCTTTTGCGAAAACAAATGATTCAGATCCGAGGCTGATGTGAATCACTCATAGATCTGCTCAGTGTAATAAAACCCAGCATGTTTTACTGCTGCTCTTTTGACTTTGAGAACCTCAGGGAGTCCCAAGAGCTGTGCCAGAGCAGTGTCACCTTATGCCTGTTGCTAATCCTGTCGCTTCCTTTCATGCTCCTTCATGCTCTGCAAATTGTTTGATGCCTCTTACTGTACTTCTGTGAAACCTTCCTGCTGGATTGCATGGATGAAGGATTAGGTATATCATAGAATCATAGCCAAAGATTGTACTATACGTAAGTAGAGCCTCTTTCAGAGCATGCCTGATATTGCTATGTTTGTAAATTGAGCATTTATTTATTTATTTTTAATATTACTGTCTTTTCCTTCCTTTTTCAGGGGCCTCTTGGTTTGGATGGCAAACCTGTAAGTAACACCAAGTGCCAAATATAATATGTCTTTGTTCATGCTGCTCTGCATTAATAGGCAGAATGTCAACTATTATTCATTTATTACTACATATATAACTACTTAGGAGTGAAAATTGTGTTTGGGAAAATTATTCCATGGTCTGTAATACCTGCAACTTTAAATTCTGAGCCAGGCCTGGCCAGCACAGCTAGAGGTGAACTTTTCCTTACCTGTCAGCTCATCTCAGCTGCTTCTTCCCCTCCTGCCCCAGCTCAGTGAGCAGAGACAGCAGATGGGCATCAGGCCAAATTTGGGAAATAAATTCCAGTAGCACATTCAAAGAAGCAAAGTCAGTAATCTTGGTTGTATGTCCCTGGCACTAAAAAGTGATGCCATAAAAATAATTGATCCCAAAGTGAGTTCCATTTTGCTCTAAAGGAGCTAAGGTGGAAACTGTGTGAGACTGCACAGTGTCCATGCAATACTTTGTGGAACAGCTTGAACTTCATTTTATGAGCTGTTCTCTTGACTTCACTTTTGCTTGGAAGCCCTTTGGATACCCAGGTGCTTCACTCTTCTCTTATTTAATTTACAGAAACACAGACGTATTTTTTTTTATTTTTATGCTAGCTGAACACCAGCCAGCTCCGATTCCTTCTGCCAGATGGTTCCTTTGGGATGCCACATCTTTATATTTTGTGTCCAAACCCCATTCTCTTGCACCACCTTCACTAGAGGGCTCCATTTGAAATCTCTTATTAAGTTCTGGTCCTAAACCAAAAGGGATTTCAAAGCAGGCAGAAGTTATACAGTCTTTTACAACTGAAAAGTTACTCCAGATACTTATTTCTAGCCAGTTAGGGAGTGTGTCGTTATAGCTGTATACTGCAGGCTATTCATGATCTCTTCCACAACAGTAAGGGGCCAGTAGCCTTGCTTAGAGACAGATTAACAGCAGGAGGGATGCTGCATGGGGATGCAGATGCTGCCACTGTTGGCCTCTCTGTTGACCTTCCCCCACTGTATCCCACTGGGTCCTGCTTTTGCAAACACTGTAAATTGGTCTGAACCCCAAGATTTGGTGTTTTTCTGTGCTGGAAGGAGGAGGATGCAGAGCAGACACATCAAAGTGTTGCTCTGGGGTTCTCTCTGGGGCTGCAGTGTGTCTCTGCCTGCCTGTCTCACAGACAGCTGCTCAGAGGGAAGATGAATGATGCCTTCAGCAAATAGGCCAAAGAAAGCAGCTCGTCCTCCTTGTTTATTTCAAACAGATGTATAATTGTTGTAATGATATACTGAGCATGTGTCTTTTCTAGAAGTGATTTAATGCCTCAAGATATCTTTTGCATCTATTTAGAGTCACATGTTTGTGAGTGGCTGTCGTGCTGCCTGCCCTGCCCTGATCCTTCTCTGCCCTGTGTCCTGGCAGGAGCAGGCAGGATCTGCTGGATGCTTTTTGGTAGTGTGTTTCTCATGTTAAGCAGTGTATAACTTAAAATAATAGTATGCATGCCTTAAAATAATAGACAGTGTGGCTCAGGTTTGTGAATTGATGAATGCAGTCTCCTTGGGTTTGATAGCATTTGCACTGATGATTCTGCTGTTCCTTAACTTGGATCCTTCTTATGTATTTCCAGGGACCTCCAGGACCAAAAGGGGAGAAGGTAAAGGCTGCATTAACACGTGGGGTTTAGGGAAGCAGCTGTATGTCCTCCTGTTACCCTTTCAGTTCAGGTTACCCCAGTATGACAGAATGACACTGGGTTTTGTTGGGACATGGAGCCGTGACAGTGGGTTCTCAGGTTGCTCTTGGAAAAGCCCTGGCAAGGGGAGGGCAGGAAGAATTTGCAAAAAAAAAAAAAAAAAAAAAATTGGAGCAGGAAGTATGATCTTAAAGCTCACCCATGCTCTAGGGTTCCTGGTAAGCCCTTAAGGGTCATGAGAGTGGCATAAAACTCTCTTCATTCCTCCAAGAGCTCTGGGCTCCATTGCTCTGTGTTTGCATGACAACCTCCCGTGAAATCAGAGCAGCCAAAGATGGTCATTATTGAAAGTGAAGCTAATCCTCACATGTGTAGGACATAAGCAGTTGCTAGGGGAGCCTTTGAGTTGGAACCAATCTGCTCTTTCTGATTTATTATCTGTTTCATTGTCTGCCAGGGCAGAATCCTTCCCTATTGTGTTGTCTTGAGCCCTTCTCCTCCCTGGTTTTGAATACATTAAGCAATAGGACCCGTGGCACTTCCCTGGTGTGCTGTGCTCAGGTCCAGCTGACCCTGTGCTCAGTCCTTCAGGGCTGACATTTGGCCTCTAACAACTGACCCTTCCTGTTTGCCTGATGTGCAGGGTGAAGCAGGGGACGTCGGCCCAAGGGTAAGTAGTGACATGGCACATTGATTTGTTCTAAAATCTGGTTGGATTTAGTCTCAGCACAAAATAAGGCTTTGTGCAGCTTTCCTGCAAACTGAGGCATGGCAACTCTTCTGGAAGTGTTTCATTTTGCTTTTGGAACTATTTGTGGTGGTGGTTTTTCCTAACTTTGGCCGTGAGGCAAAAAAGAGTTGAAGATCTTTGGGTACTTCATGAAGGGCTTCACTTCTACCGAATTTTCTTCTCCCTGATTTCCTCTTCCAGTGTCAGACACCATGTTTCTCTTGAAGCTGTGCTCTTTATTTGTTGGCATTAGAGCACCAGTGCACAGTGGTAGGATCTGGTGTCCCAAGGAGAGGTCCAGCACAGTGTTGTGCAGGATGGAACATTCCTCCTCTCTTGATGACCTACCCCCCTAGGAGTGTGGTGGCATGCAGGTGATACCCAGGTTGCCTCTGAAAATAAAGGGTTTAAAGTAACTGTATGATGAGGTATGTTTTGGCTATAACATGCAGAAATTAATGGAGTTTTATGGAAATGTCTCCCACGAAGCTGCACGAAGTAGAGATTCACTGCAAGGCATCAGGAGAGGTTCCCAAGGGATGTGGCTATCCTGCAGTCCCTGCTGCTGTGCTGGTAGTGATAACATGAACTCATCTTGTTAGGGATGAGATGGGAGGTTTCACCACAAGGTGTGGGATGTTTGAGGTGGGCTCTGTCACAGGTATGTTTGGCCACAGGTTATGGGCACCTGCTGAAAACCCTATTGTGAGGATGTGCTGGTGCACAGGTCACTGTGCAGAGACTGGATTTGGAGCTGGCACTCAAGAGTCAGCTGGGAGTTGTTGGAAACATAGCCTGGGCCTCAGTGGTTAACGTTGGGCAGAGATGCCTCAGAGACATTTTTCTCTTTTTTTTTTTCCCCTGGAGGTTGCAAAGTCACTTGTAGAAGTTGGCATCGTGTTCTGAAGCAGCTCCTAACAACCTTGGGTGTGTTGGGAAATGTCACCCTCAGGCTCAGAGAGCCCCTAAAATTTCTCCAATAGATTTATGCCCTGTGTGGCTAAGGAGGGGCTCGGCATAAGCTCTCCACTTTGTCTAAGTGCCCACCCATGTACTCAGAAAAGGCTTTAAAAGGTGATTCGGGGGTGAGTTTTCACTCCTTGGCTGGGGCTGTGGATGACTTTGGGACTGGCAACTCAGGCAATGCCAGAGGAGCTGCTGCTCAGGCTCTGAAGCCTGAACTCCACACTGCCAGGTGCTGCAGGAACTCACCTCTTGCTCCTGGACATGTTATGGAAAAGGCTCCATGGACTTGCAGGGCAGGTGTCAACTCCCAAGGTAACATTTGTCCTATGTTTTAATCTACCAATAAAAGTGTGCTTTTTATTTTTTGCCCTGATCTGCATTTGTCCAGATTTTCCTCTAGTTTTAGATTTATTTATGTCTTTTTGCACAAGAGGCTCAAAAACAATTTGGAAGGGGAGAAACAAGCCTGGCAGAGCCATGCAGAACTAGCTCTGAAAACAGGTGCCTGGCTTTGAAAATAGCTTCCTTTGTGTCTCCAGACACTGAGCTGTGAATTTGATACAAAACTTCTTAATACCATCTGGCTCAGATTATTTATTGCTGAATTTAATCTATCTTCTTCCCCAAGTTTCAGTGGTGGCTTTGTTTAGCTGATTGTGAAAGATGTCACTGCAAGTCATCGCATCAACAAGAGGATAAATAACCAGGACTATACCCAGTGCCTTCCCCTCGTAGATGTTCATGTCTATGGGCAGTGGAGTGGGGATGGAGTGTGCCAGTGAACACTAAAATACTATCATTAGGAATGATATATTCAAAGAGAAGATTTCTTGTGGTGGCTTTGGAGGGACTGTCTGAAGTGGGAGTGAGATGAAGGCAATTTAGGGATTAACAACTGAATATGTTCATGTCTGTGCTGATTTTCTTGATGTCTCTAATAAACACCTGTCACCAGTGTGGACAAAAATAGAGACTATTGCACGTGTGAGTGTGCTTGGTGGCTGATGTTGGAGGGTGATTTTTGGAAAGCTGAGGAAAGAGATGACATTGGATTGTCTTAGTCACTGGATGCTCGTTCTTGTCAATAGCATGAGGGAGGATGCTGTGCAGCCTCACCTGGCCAGGATGGGTAATAAACATACCAAAAAATACTGACAGAATTCATGGCAGTGTATTTACAGGCAGAAACCAATCACAGATCCCCTCTGCTCTGGAGAGGATGGAGGGGGTCAGAGCAGGATGCTGCCAAGTCTGGGACTGCTGTGCCCTCATATTTGTGCCTGTACTTCTTGCTTAAAGTCCAATATATTGCTACACCTCCAAAAAGAACTGGATTTATAAACCAGACTCACTTCCTGAGATAGCACTGGGATGACTGCTCTGGATTTATGAACTTAACTGGGTGATCTTGTTCTTACTGACAGATGAGATGTTTAGACAAATGATGGGATTGATGAATCTCTGCACATCTGGGCTAGCTGATGCACAGTGCCTGTGGCAGCAGCACTGGGTTTGCTCTTGAGAGGGAGAAAACAAGCTTCAGCTGGTGAGAGAAAAAGCTCTGGTCTGCAGTGGCCCATATAGCACATGCCTACTCAATGGGCAGTGCTGATGGAGGTGGCACCAGCATCACCTGTACCTTGAGGTGCTGGGGAGATAAATGCTGGCATGGTTGAACCAGGTCTGCAGCAACAGTGCAGACAGAAAAGGAGCTTTTTCTCCCTTACTTCCTGCAAAATTACAAGTGCTTGCCAAGCTCACATTTCAGATAAAAACTCAGCACAGGAAGTGTCCTGCAGAGCTCACTGTGACAGTAAACAGACACCTATGGATACTTTGATTATTTGCTTATTTGGACTGTTGTGTTGAAATGGCTAAGTCAAGTACTGTAAAGCTGGGAAATTACCAGTGTCAAGATTTCTGTGCTCTAATATTCCATTGCTACACGAGGTCAGACCCAACCACCAGTTAGCTCAGTGCCTCACAACCAGATGCTTTGGGAAAGTGTGGAGCAGGAACATGGAGCTCCATCACACTTAACCTCTCTCTCTCGATGGCCCAAACATTTCTTGAACCAGAGAGAGTGTCTCTGTATTGAATATCCCTCAGGGCTGTTCACCTTTCGTGGGCCCATCTGTAACAGAGACTGTTTAAAATGAAGCATGAGATGGCTGGATTTGGTGGGAGATGGTGTGTTTGGCCTCAGAGCAAATGCAAATTGGTATTTCACACTAAAACAGATAGGGCTGGGCTTGGAATTTGCTTACCTGGATGGTGCTCAGCAGTCTGAGGAGTAAGAAAAAAATCAGTTCCTGTCTTGCTCAGTGGGTTTTTATGAAAATCCCACTTTATGCTCTTGTGTATTTTCATGCACATAATGAGCCATAAAATTGGGTCCTTTGTATTTACCACAACCCCCTTTGCTCTCAGTAGAGTCTTTTTGGTGGTTTCTGCAGTATCTGGAGGATCTGGCCAAGTGCAAGGGCTCTGTGTCCCCATTAATTTCAATGTGACATCATCTTGGGTTTGTAAAATCTCAGAATTTCAGTATCCTTCTTCCCAAAAGTAGCTGTATTTGAGAACTGTGCTAAATCTTCTGTCTACAGCTTGGAAAAAAATCCTTGGGAGGGGTTTATTTTCCAGGATTGATTGTTGGGATTTTTTTCTCTCAGACTTTACTTTTCTCCTTTTCTTTTTGAGATGATGTAAAACATCTGTACTCGATGTACCTGTGCATACCTACACCTGTCCTGGGAAGCTTGGCAGGATGTGGCCTTGCCTGTGCACTATTTATCCCTAAACTGAGTTTTTAGGATTACTTGTTATTGGTGTGCAAGGTTTAAAAGCTCCTTGGCAATTTGCACAAGAGGTTTGTTCCTTAGAAACCTCCAAAAATCTTTGTGGAGGATGTGCTGTGTGTTCCCAGGGGAATTCTTGTGGCTTCACTCCACCCCTTTGATTTCTCCTAGTGATGTGTGCAGGGATGGATGGATGGGGGAAAGGGAGATGCACGTGGTGTCCTGAGAAAGGAAGTGTCTTACTGCTTCTCCCTGGATGAATGAGTGGAAAGACTAAAAGACAATAGCAATGACTACCGACATGGTCTAAATACATTGTTTTTGCATCATATAAATTTGATTTATCTGCAATTTTCAGGCTGGGGAATTCATCAGTATTCATTTTAGCCTCTGAAAAAAAATATCATATTTGGTCTCAGGGAAAAGCTGGGATATATCCCCTGTGGGGTTTGCTGGAATAATGCTCTTTATTCTGCAGCAGGGGAATCCTTACCCCAGCTGCTTTGAATGTCCTATTGTGCAGTAAACTAGTGAAAAAATACTTGTTTCCCTCAGTCTGTGTACTGCTTCCCAAGCTCCAGTGTATCCAGAACCTTAAATCCACCACCGTTGGCCACCTAGATTATTTCTTCCTCATGCATCAATTAATTATCAAAGAAAAATTGTTATATGTTGTTCCAGCCCTTCATACTCACTCTTCTGCTATGCTTTAATCTTAAACTCTTGCTCCTTCCTCCTCTGCCTCCCACTTTCCCTGGCTAGATGGTTTTTCCCCACCTCAACCATGGATTTCTGGCTAATGATCAGCTTACCTTTAGCCGGCGAGTCCTCAAGGTAGACACCAAATCTGCTGCCACTGGTTTGCTGTGATTCTTTGAGCTGCTTTTGTTTCTCCTTCCTGGCTGACAGTGCACTGTTGCTATTTTAAATTCCCACTACCATGGCTGTGTTTAGATATGCTTGTTGGGAGTGTGCTTGAATGAAACTCCTTGGGAATTTAGTGGGGGATTGTCAAAGGCATAAAACTAATGGGTTTGGCTTTTCATTCTTTGTGAGATTTGGGAATCAAGCAGCAAAGTCCCATAAACATTGATATGAATAGTGTTGGTATTGTAAAATGAAAAGCATTAACCCTAGAGTCATCTAAATTCTTGAACTCTAAATGCAATGTTTTAATTGGGAAAAATTCAGTGGGAGAGTCGACATAATTGGCTGCAGTGTTCAGCATTTGCTATGAGGTTTTTTTAAAAACCATGGAAGTGATTTAGGAGCCCACAGCTTGTTGAAAGGCCATGGGATTTGTGCTGCTAAGTCACTTAAGGACTTCTGAAAAATCCCACACTTGTCCCTGATTTGAGGGTGGACCACATATTAAACAGAGCCCTCTTACTGCCTCGGTGGTGACTCTTCCAGATGTTGCTACAAGATTTATGAGGTCTCCTTTCCATGAGGGTTTCCATTGTGCAGCCCCAAGGATGGGCCCAGCCATGGCCCTGGGCTGGGCTGTGGCAGTTGGCAGGGGCCAGGAGCTGATACCTGGGCACAGAGCCCCACAGGATGCTCCTCTCCAGAGACACCCACCCAACCTCCAGTCACACAGACACAGCTGCTGCTTGTCCTCTTCATCCAAGCAGCACAGGGTGTGAGCGACTCTGAATGTTAATATATGACCTTGGCTGTATTTAAGGGATGAGACTAAGCCCTGCTACTTTTTTTGTGTGTTTTTTTCTGGTGTGGTGCACTAAGCTATGGCAGTGTGTGCATGCTCCATGCCAGCATGTTGTGGGTCTGGATTATTTCTGGGTGCTGTTGAATTGGTACTTTCATGCAGAGAGTCATTGAGTAAGGGCTTAATGAGATAAAACCTCGTTGGAAGGCGTTGAGCACAATCCTGGTTAAGGAACCAGACCCAAAGGGCATAAATTGGCCATGAGCTCAATTTCAGCCATCCCAATTGGAAGCTGTAATTAAATTCCTCTGGGACAGCAGAGACCAGGGTGCTGGTGGCCCAGGGATGTGGTGCATGTGCTGTGGGCACCCTGTGGCCACCACTCGCCAACGCCGTTTCATCTCACTATGCCTGTGTGAACTTCTTCCAGGGTGATCGAGGTCGAGATGGAGTCACTGGCCCCCCTGGTCCACCAGGACCCCCAGGTGCCCGGGGGCCTCCTGGTGACACGGGAAAGGATGGCCCAAGAGGACCTCCAGGCTCCCCTGTAAGGATGGGAGATGCTCAGCAAGCACATACCAGGCAGTTAATTCCCACCCAAAGGGAGAGGAGGGTGAAGGGTGTTCCTTGCCCAGTGCTGCCACCCCAACCACTGGGTCTCCAGCCTGAGCCGTGGTTGGGCTCTGATGGCTGCTCACAGGGCAAAGCTTTGGGGCTTGGGACAAGGGAGCAGGAAGGGACATTCCACCCTAGGATATAAAGAACTGGACCTGAGGCATATATTGGCAGGTGCTGGTTGTAACTCAGCCTGAGGAGACCCCAGTCCGTACCCTTCCGATGACATGTTGGGAATCTGCAGACCACTGGCAATTTATCTAATTACAAAATAGGCTAAAGCATAATGTAGTGGAACATTCTCATTATTGTTGCCAATTTTGGAAAACAAGAGGCAATGGTTTCAGTGTTGGCCTTATTTATTTTTGCAGGGTTTCAAAGGCGAGCCAGGAGAGGATGGCATCATGGTCAGTATTGCCCAGAAGCATTTATGTGTGTGTGCCCCTCACCCTTTGCCCCTCACCCCCATCACCCTTCAGTGTGTTTGTGATGTTGCTTATAGAGGTCAAAAAAATCTCATGGGAAATTATAGATCCCTAAGGTGGATGTTTGTCCAGGGGTACCTGTGCCCTGGGGAGAAAAGAGGACAGTTGTTTTACCCCCTTGGCTTTTCTCCAGGGATGTGGTGCTCTTATGTCCTGACTTCTGCTTCTCTGAAGCCACCTGGCATTGTAACTCCAGTTTGCTAAGGTTGGATAAAAAGGTGCTTATTAAACATAAAATACACAAGCCATAAAAGAATATTATTTACTGGGAGAGCAGAGGACTTACAGATGTACTTTTAAGGGAAGATGAGAAGTTGTCATGTGTGACTTTTTTATTTTTTCATGGAATTAAAGTACTCTTGGAGATGTTTTTATCCTGTTATACTCTGTTGTCAACCAAGTAAACCAATTACACTCATATTTAACAGGGTGCCAGAGGACCTCCAGGACCAAAGGTGGGTAATGATCTATCTAATTTTAACAAGAATTCTTGAAATAATGCTGCATAAGAAGGATGGAGATGAAAATAAGCATTTTGCACTGGACTTGCACTTATCTGTATGTATCAGACACAAAATTACAGGGTCTTGTATTAACCATTAACTGAGGGTCTAAATGTCTGAACATGTCACTTTTTTAATATCAAAACCACTGCCCATGTTCAAACCTGGGAGTGGAGGGAGCCATGGGGGGCTGGAATCTGCTGTGCTGTGGGAATGTGCTTTGTTGCATTTTGTGGGGGATAAAGATGATCAACACAAGCTGAGTAGTATAATTTTACAATTAATTTTGACTATTCATACAATTGGGTTTATTTTCTGTTATGTCTCTAACCTTCTTTCTCCTCTGTTGACATTGCTGTTGAAGGGTGAGCCTGGCATCCAAGGGAAAAAGGTAAAATGGTTATTATTTTATTACTGTTTTTCATTCTTTTTCTTTGCTTTGCTCTGTGCTTGACTTGGGAAACCACTGCCAGGGGTCAGTGGAGGAGCTGTGGTCATGCCAATCCTTTCCTTGTGTTCCCTGGGGTTTCTTGCCCATGCAGCTCTGAGGCTTGGGCACAGCTGTGCCTACAGCCTGGCTTTCATTACCACAAGCAGGCAAGAAGCTGCACCCACATCTGCCCAATAGACAAAGAATGAAACAGCAAATGCCAAGCAAAGCAGTAGGTCTTCAGCCCTTTCGCTCCAATAATTCAAGCTGAACCAAGCAGTGCCTGGAGGATGTTCTCTGCCCAGGGGCCCTGGGGTGGGTTTGAAGTTCCTGGGATGGGCATCACCATGCAGCAGAGCAGGCTCATGGGGATCTTAAGGACAGACATGCTGCTTGGGTCTAGTATTGAAGATTGTGAGAGTTTCACATGTCCAAGCTCTCCACATTTTCTCCTGGTGGTGTCGTCAAGTAGTGGATAAATCACTGCCTTTGACCAAAGCCAAAGCACTGACAGGGACCAGCATTTTCCTCTTACTGCTTTGCCCCAAAATAGATATGGGTGTTTTTCAGGCCAGAATTTGGCTTAAAAATTTTCATAACTAGCCAGTGAAATGTATTTCTTCAGCAGCTATGAAGTGGTTTTATTCCAGGAGAACAATGAAGCATGATAAGTGAAACAAGAAAAACCTTTCCTGGCAGATGGTGTTGGTGACATCTGATGAAGTCCACGAGGGTGGGTGGCAGCCTGCAGAGGTCTTTGGGACACAAAAATCCTTAAGAGGGATTAAATATTTAGTTTCTATTGAAGGTGGGAGAGCACCTTTCCCAGGGTCTGCTGTAGGGAACCTCTGAGAGATGCCCATCCACCTCTCCAGGAGCAGGGGAGGCAGAGACAGATCTGGATGGGAGCAGGGGCCACACTGGAGCCTCCTGGGCTCCCTGCTGCTCTCCCCTGGCCTCCTGCAAACCTGAGTGGGTTTCAGGTCTATGCAATGCTCAGTGGGGTCAAATGATGTGTTGGATCCCAATAAGTGTTGTGTACAAGCTCTGTGTATTTCTCTTTTGATATTTTATTTCATCAGGGTGATGATGGAATCCCTGGAGAACCAGGACCTGTGGGCCCTAAGGTATGTTCTGCTCTGTGTCCATCTGATGTATGTGTTTGGCAGCATCTTTTGCTGTCTGGTCTCTCGACACCATATCACATTTGGGTCAGGTTGTGAAGCACATTTCTCCCCTGATATGGAAAAAGATCAAAAAATTGTAATGGTGGTGAGGCATTGGCACAGGCTGCCCACAGAAGCTGTGGATGCTCCATTCCTGGAAGTGTTCAAGGCCAGGCTGGATGGGGCTTGGAGCAACCTGGGCTAGTGGAAGGTGTCTCTGCCCATGGCAGGGGATTTGAACTAGATGATCTTCAGTGTCCCAATCCCAAGCATCCTGTGATTCTGTACTGCAGTTTTGGGGCCAACTTTATGGCAGAGCACAACACCTGCAGCCAAGCTGTTAAGCTTCATTTTTATCTCAAAAACTCACCATTTGCACCTAGGCAATGTGACATTTTTTATGGTTAAGACCAGAGCTTTGCTCACTCGTGCAGGTAAAATGAAGACAAAGCAAGAAAATGATAATCTGAAGAAATCTATTCTCCATCCTCCCTGTATAGCATTTGTTTAAATTTTCTTGTTTTCAGGGAGAAAAAGGAAGTGTGGGTCCCAAGGGAGAGAATGGCACAGATGGATTCCCAGGACCCAAGGTAAATAAAAGTCCATTAGCTGCAACACTGGGCACAGCACTGCTGAGGCACAGGGCTCCAGCTCAGGAGGGGTTTGGGGTCTTTGCCTTCTAAAAGACTCATAAAATGCCCAAACTGATACAAAACCAGGGGATGTTAAGAGTATTTTACCTTTTCCTGGTGATTTAATGAAAGCTGGGGTTGAGCAGGGATCAGTAGAAGAGTTTTTGTAATCATCTCCTTGTGTGTTTTCCATTGAACTGTCTTTTTCCTCAAGAAAGGTAAAAGTGATCACATTTTGATCTGATGTTATTGACAGCTGCAGTGTTGCTTCAGAGCCTAAAGCACTTAGGATCTGTGGTGTCCTACTGACCTCCATACTGCTGAGAAATTCAATTAGACAGTCTGGATTTGTTAAGTGGTGATGAGGAGACCTGGACAGCATCTGTGGGCTGTTATTTACCCCCTCAGCTGCTTCATATTTAGCAGGATCTGGATCCAGTAATATTTTCTATATTGAAGAGTTGTGGCTCCTTGTTGGGCAAGAAACTGTGTGTGATGAAGAAATGTGGCTCTGGTGACCCTTAGTCATTTTTTTTCCTGACATTGTAGTTGCAGCACTGGTTGTTTCCTCTGGTATAGCTTGAATTTAGAGGGGTTTTCCTATGCATTTTTACCATTTTCTGGTAAAAGGAAATTTGGTCACTACAGGGATTTCCATGGATATGGCAAATGAGACATTTTTGAATCCTGAACTGAATTTCAGGTCACTGCTGTGAGAGTGCTATGGCTTTCTAAAACTCCTTAGCTTTCAAGAAAGATAATAGAAGGGGAGGGAAAGGAAAAAAATAAAATAAGGGAAGGAGGAGAGAGGAACAATTTGACAACCCTTTTCCTTAAACTTGCCCTTGAGAATGGTTTAAACGTCTCGGCTGAAACTTTCCACATGCAAAACTCAGCCTAAAGCAAAGAGAGAGCCATGTGGAAGCAGCACAAAGAGCTGGAGCTTGGCACAGAGCAGAGAGGGGAGCTGGAGGGTGGCACAGCACATGGCATATATGGGCTCACTCACACCAATGTTCGTTTGTGCAAAATACATTTGCTCTCAAGTCAAACTGTTTTTCCTAGGAGAAGCAGTACCTTGCTGGTGTCAGACTTTTTTTCTTAATCTAAAGCATATCTTTATGGGTGGGTACATATTTTTTAATATAAAAGTTCTCTATTTTCCTTACTCTCTTTGAACAATCAAAAAATGTGATTTTGATTTTCAGGGTGAACCTGGTGAGAAGGGAGGAATTGGCTCCATTGGACCTCGGGTATGGATGTTCAGGGGTTTACTTTTTTGATTTGGAGTGTTTCCCTCAACCTGAGCTGTTTCCCACCACCTCTTTCTGTTTAATCCGTGACTGAATCATTTCAGGACCAGTTCAGTGTGAGAAAATAGAGATGCTGCATATTTAAAGAAATTAATATGCAGGTACTGAACTCTGACACAGGAGATATCTCTGGGAGATCAGTCAAGTCCAATTTTCTTATCAACATGAGCATCCTGTGACCTTTTGCTTTGCAACAGGGAAGCTGAGAATAGGAGTAATCAAGTCAGGATTTTTATGCACTTCTCCATTACACAAATTGATGCCCTTTTGAGGTTTAGTTGGATAACAGCTACTGCTGTCAGACCAGGCACTGGTGAAACTCATGGCCTTTGTAAAGTGATAACCACCATATGCTGGGTGTCAGGTCTTTGCTTTCATGCAAAGTGCTGTAAGACTAACTAGGTTTCATCCCTGGTTGCAGGGTCCCCCTGGCCTGAAAGGGGAACAGGGTGACACTGTTGTGATTGACTACGATGGCAGAATCCTGGATGCACTCAAGGTAAGCTCTGCACCATGCCCAATCCTGCAGGTAACAGGAAAGGGCTGAATACCTGCCAAGCTCTGCCACAGTGATGTTGTAACATCCTGGACCTGTCCTACTTCTTCCTGAGACCTCTGTCTTGGCACTGATTTAGCCAGGATGGAAAAGCTTATTGCATCTGGGGGCTGAGGATATTTAGGTTGTACCAGCAAAAACAGTGGCAGAACTCGAGGCTGTGAGCTCAGGCTGAGCACCTGCTGTGGAATGTGAGTTCATATTCTGCAGGGAGAAGCAACCTGTGACATAGAAACACCTGAGGCAATGAGTGTGAGCAGCCACTTTCCAGCTCAAACACTGCCAGCTGTGGATGTGATTCCCATGGCATGGCACAGAGCTGTGCTGGTCACTGTGCATCCTCTGCAAGCAGTGGTCAGGATGTAGGAGAAAGGGGAACATCTGAGCCCTAACCTGCCCTACCCAGCAGCACCCTGCCAGTTTCCTTAAGATTAAATAAGTTGAATAGAATAAATACTTAATTATTGTCATATTTGAGAACCATCCTAATTGTTTTATAACAGGCTGCAGGGATACACAAAGTGCTGGTAATTTCCGTTTGCCAGATGTCTGCATGGCATTCAGCTTTGGGAGAGAAGTTTGTGGAGTGTGGTACTTGGAGAGGCTCCATCCAATGTCTGGAGGCTTCATCTGCTGGGTCCAGACACTCTCCCATGTTCTGCATGCAGACATTGCTATGGGGCACATCACTGAGCCTTGCTAACTTTGCTGTTTCCCTGCTTATTAGCTGTTTTCAGTGTTTGTGCACTGACCTGTCTCATGGACAAGGCTTTGGAAAGGATTCTAGTGTGATTGAATGTAACAACATTTGAGTGTGCAGCCATGGGAAAAGGTGCTTGAGGTTATACTACTGGTTTGCTTTCCATCTGAACAAGATCATGAGTTTTGCTGTCTGAAATCATTTGCAAGTTGGAAAATATTTGTTTGTCTCTAGGTGGTTTGTGGTCTGTGCACCCAGCAGTGCCCAGGAACAAACACTTCTGGAAGTGTGGAGGGTTTTCCTGCTGTTAGTGCTCACACAAAGTCCTTCGTTTCCCCTCTTTAATTGTACCTCCCTGCCTGGCTGTCACTGCTTCCAGCAGGATTCTGCTTCCCAGGCCAACTGGCTGGAGCAGGCAGAATGCAAAAAGAGACCACCAGATTTGGGGCCACACCTCCAGCTAAAGGCATTTTGCCTCTTAACCCATGTCCTGCTGCACTTGTACACTTTGCTCACTCCTGTTGTGTTTTTTTTTGCATGAATAACCCTGTGCCAGAGGAGCCCTTGGGGCACTCTGTGTCAGCTGAGCTCATCTCAGTGTTTGGACACCCCCACTCACCTGAGTGTCTGTTGTTGGGAGCTGCTCCTGGCTCATCCCCACTGCATGAGGATAGTGTGCCATGTTCACACTAGTCATGATCCAAGCCTGTGTTGTTTGCTGTGTTTCAGGGTCCACCAGGTCCCCCAGGCCCACCAGGCCCCCAAGGCACTCCAGGTCCCAAGGTGAGCCTAACTTCTGCCAAGCAATGTGGTCATGGGTAGCTCTCCAAGTAGAGCCAAAATAAGGCAGGTGATGCTGCCTGCAGAGGAATTTGAGGCTATGTGTGGTAAAGGAAATGCTATTTAACCCTTTCTCTGGCTGAAAAAAGGAGGTTTTCACACGAAAGCTAAAGTCCTGTTGACCTGTCTCTAGTCTCCAGCCTCTTACAGAGGAAGCCATCCCAGAAAGAAATCCACTCCCAGTCCCACAGCTGACAGGTGAAACCCTGGCCCCTCTGAGATCATCCCACGGCCTGTGGGAGAAGCAGTTGTGAGAGGGGGTGGCAGTCCCAACAGTTGTTCTGGGCCACCCTCAGTCCCACCCTCCCTGTGTGCCCCTTCCTGCCCCAACACCGTGTCCCAGGAAAATGCTTTCCTCCTGCTTCAAAAGCAACAGCCTCTAACCTGCAGTCAGCTAAAGTTTCTTTAAAACAAGAAGGCAGTTTGCAGAAAAGCATCTCTTGGAAGAATGGGATGGGACAGGATTTCAGTGCCTCTTGAGGTCCCTGTGTCCATCTTCTGATGAACTGGTAATGCTGGTGCATCACTGACACCTCCTTGGGCCTGGGAGTAGCAAACCTATAGCCACAACAGTTGATACACATCAACAACTCATTTCCTTGAAAAATGCTTTCCTGATTTAATGATTTTTAATTCTTTGTGCTGCTTCAGGGAGAGCTGGGCTTGCCAGGTCCACCTGGACTGGATGGGGAGAAGGTGAGTGGGGCATGGCTGGATCAAATGAGACCTTGCCAGGAGCTAAATGAAAAAGGGAGTGTACTGTGTGTCTGTGAAGAGTAAATCCAAGTCTGCCAGGAGCAAGTTCTGCTCTGTATTGTCAACAGTGTCTCCTTGAATTGATGGCCCTTTGCCTATGGCCCCGTGTCCAGCTCTGATGCTGCTTGTGGCCACGTCTGCCAAGATAAAGAAGCTCTTTTTACTAGTGCTTCATCAGATACTGTCTCCAATTTTTTCACAAGCCTTCCCAACCCTAAATGGCTGCAATCCCTGCTGCAGTCCAGCCAAATTCTGCTGCACCCACAAAATTGGCATATGTGAGTTTGAGTGTTAAAACATGTTCTCGTGAGCTCATGCTGAGATGTGGAGGGAAACAGCAGAAAGGCAGAAGTGGCTGTTGTGGGGTGGGTTTTTTTAACAGTCTTCTTTGTTTTCTGTAAACTTGCAGGGTCCCAAAGGAGCAAAGGGTGACCAGGGCAGCACAGGCATGACGGGGCAGAAAGGAGAGACAGGAGAAATGGGCTTAGCAGGTCCACAGGTAGGTCCCTCTCTGTCTCTGTACCACTGCTGTTTCGTCATGTACTTGTGTCTGCAAATGCTCAGAATGTGGCCAGGCTGGCTGATTTAAGTCTGTCCACACTGTGTTACCTGGAGCTGATGGATGTGGGAGCTTTGAATTTGCATTTCTAATGATGTGATAACAGCTTATTCAGAAAGGTACCAAGGAGGAGAAAAATCTTTCATCAAAGTCCCCTGGAGGGGTGAACATGAGGCTTGAGCCAAGGCTGGAGTTTAGAGGGAGACAAATGCGTTTTTCTCTCTTTGGTTTTGCTTTCCTGGAAGATGCAGCACATCAATGTTCTATTTTTATCTTTTAGGGAGCAGAAGGGTCCAAAGGAGAAAAAGGAGACACTGGGTCACCGTGTCTGCAGAATAATCATGTAAGATCTTGGTAACATGAATCCTTTTCCATGGTGTGGGGTCAGGCAGAGCTGGGGGTGCAGCCTGGGCCCCCCAATCCTGTGTCCATCAGCAAAGCCAATTGTTTTCAGAAGTGTCTAAATGGGGTTTAGTCGTTAGGGCAGAGCAGTCTGCACACTCGGCACTACAGTGTTATTTTAGGTTTTGCATTGATGGTTGAGATATTGGATGCTGCTGTTACAATTATGTTTTGTTGTCAAACACATTGGGCTCCTTGCAGTTTTATAGGATTTCAGCATCGTTTTTGCCTTATTCATGCCTATTGCTTAATAAAAACACAAATGATGTGTTTTGACAGGTTTTTCTTGTTAATGGCATGAAAGCTCCAATTTTGTTCAGGGATTGGGATTTTTCTTTTTTTTCCCCCCCTGGTTTCCTCCAGCCTGTGCAGAAAGTGGCATCATTTTTCCATTACACCTATTTTGTGACTGGCAAATACACTGTGGATCAAGCCTCTCGTTTTGGAGGCTACTTTGATTCATTTGCTTATAAAGATTCATTCATTTATAAACAGCACAAGCAACTCTTTGATTGGCAGATATTTTGATTAAAGCCATTAAATTAGAGGGCATTAAATCATGTTTGGGGCTTTGTGAGGTTTCCATTCCTGAACTATCTTCTCTCTGTGCTCAGCCTTGTTAATGTGCTGTTTAATTCCCTTCTGCAGATCATACCTGAGCCTGGACCCCCTGGATTACCTGGCCCTATGGTAGGACACTGGAAAGCCATTGCTGCAGATTTGTTGTTGCCTGTGATTGATAAGGACAAGGGTGGTTTGCTCTGTTTAATCATTATGGGCTGTTGTGAATCTAGGAGAAAAATCAGGGAAGAGACACAGAGCTGTGTTCTGTCTGGAGAGATCAAACACCTGATTTAGGAGAGTACATCAGCATTTGTGGCTCATTTTGCAAATAACCAAGTTGTTCCTTCAGATGGAGAAAAGACAAAATCTTGTGGGATGGGAAAACCTGTTCTCCACCATGATGGTGTCTGTATTCCCATAAATTTGCCCAAGGCAGTAAGTTTTTTGCCATCAGCTGCACTGGGAGAGAGGATACAGGTAGTCCTGAACACATGGAGCAGTTTTGATGCAGATATCTAAGGGGTTCGGTGCCTGTGATGCTCCAAAAGGCTGAGGAGCTCTCAAGGGCTCAGGATGCCTCTGCTGGGTCTGGGATTCACCTGGTCAGACCATGCTTCAAAACCAGGCAGCATTCAGAACTGGGAGGTGTCCCAGCCATGGTGGATGGTGCCACCCCCCACAGCTTTTTGGTGGGTCTCACTCCCCAAAGCTCCTGTTGCACAGCTTTATAGTCCCATGTTATGCAAAGTGGTCCTTTTCAGTTCCCCTTCCCCATGATTTGATGGTGGAGGACCAAAGAAACTGCCACCTGTCTCGAAGTATTTGGCCATTGTCAGCCTATCATTTCAGCAAGAAGTGGTTTGGGAAGCAAAGTTTAGGGTGTGTGTTTCAATTTTCAAATGCACCATTGTCTTTCCCACAGGGTCCTCCAGGAATCCAGGGGCCTAAAGTAAGTCAGTAAACTAAATGTCACCCAGTTTCCCAGCTTCCAGTGCATTATTTACAGGCTCACAAAGGCCTGTCAGCTCTGGAGACTGATTCTTTTTTTTTTGCGCGTCAGTGTTGTCACAACACATCCCTTGGTTACACTGTTCAGCAGTTGGTGTTATACAAAACAAGCAATTTGTCCTTCCAAACACATTTACGATCTAAAACCCTCATCCAGCACAGAGTCCTGGCGGCACATGTGAGTCAGGATTTCCAAACCAGAAGGCTTAAACCTGTATTTTCAATTGTTTCCATACATGATTTGGTCAAGAAAACAACATTAACAGCAGTGTGGGTATGAGGACCCCAGAGAAGGTGGTGGGTGCATGGGGCTGTCCTGGGCAGAGCTGACAGGTCTCCTTGGTTGATGCCACTTCATTTATACAGGGTCTGGATGGTGCAAAGGGAGAGAAAGGTGACAGTGGTGAGAAGGGAGACCACGGTGACCCTGGACCCGCTGTGAGTCGTTTTCCCAAATGTCATTTCTGGCTGTTGACAGAAACCTGCAACCATCTCAATGCTTTCTTCTGTTCAATTCAAGGGTCTCCCAGGTGCTCCAGGGCTCATCGGTTTACCTGGTACCAAAGGAGAGAAGGTAATCATTGGTGTGGGAGAGGAGTGGTGATACTGTGGTGTAATCCTCAACTAGGGGCTGTAAAAATCCAGAACTGCAGAGCTGGGCTGAGCAGCACTATCCTGGTGGGTGGTAAGGAATAACCTCCACCCCCACTGGCTGCTGGGTGAACCTATGCTCCTACTTCTATATTACACCACCTGGATATAAGTTTTTCTGCAACATCAAACTCCACTCAGCATGTCTTAATTTTTATTTTTACAACTGCAGGGAAAGCCAGGGGAGCCAGGATTGGATGTGAGTATGGAAACCATTAATTATTCATGTCGAAACACAACTAACACACACGTAACTTGAGATTGTTGGGAAAATATGTAGCTAACACTGTATAGAGTGCTCTCCCTTCAACACAGCACCCGTGGAACAATGTAGGAAAAGGGCTGGATTCAGGCCAGTTGCCAGGCTACTTCCACTGCACAGTGGAACTGCTCAGCTAAAGATGCCGTGGGGGTTTCCAATTGAGAATATTTGTATTGGATTCAGTAAAACAAAAATCTCTAATGGCTGTAATGTTACTGGGGTGTGGTGAAGCACTCCAGCTTTCCCAAGAAATTGCTGACATACCAAGTCAACAGGAAGAAACTGTCATTCTTCACTATGGGAGGATGGGCTGATGGCTGCAGTTGGCTCACGTTGAACTGAGATACCAGAACAGTCGCACACTAAACTTACCTTGTCTTTTTTTCTTTTTCCTTTTTCTCATCTAAAAATTGTTGATAGGGTTTCCCAGGCCTCAGAGGAGAGAAAGGAGAGCGAAGTGAAAGAGGGGAGAAGGTGAGTGGGTTATGGCTGTAGGGGCAGGACAAGCAACAATGCTTGCCCTGGGTGCTGGTCCCTTCTCCAGCCTGTTTCTCAAGCCACTGCTGAAAGGCCTCTTCTGGAGCACAAGTCCCAGTGTAAGGCAGGACACACAGTGAATTCCTACCCACTTAGAAGTGCTTTTGCAAGCCTGCTCCCCATCCCATCCCCAGCACCATCATCGTGGGGAAATGGAGCAGCCTGACAGCTCCAGGTTGCAAAGAATTGCTGGGTTTGGCTTATAGACCTTGAAAATAGATCCAAGGCAAAGGTTTTGCTACAGAGATCCTTAAAGGGATGCCTAGCTGAGCACAGGGCAGTGGCTGGAAGATGCTGCTCCCACTTGCTGCAGAAACTGGTCATTCAGTCAATGTGTTATAAAATGATCTATTATCTCCACCCAGCTTTCACTGAAGATTTTCACAGTGATGTAATGACTGATCTGGGGTTACACCAGTGCAAGTATCCTTACTCAGGGTGAGGAATGGGACTCTGCAAGTGCTGTGAGACATCAAGCAAAGGTGTTTCTTCCCTGTTCCTGATATTTTCCTGTTGTGCCGACAGGGTGAGCGAGGAATACCAGGGAGAAAAGGAGCCAAAGGGCAGAAGGGGGAGCCAGGCCCTCCTGGACTGGACCAGCCTTGTCCCGTGGTAAGTCTTTTATTTCACTCATCCTAAGCACACGTTGCTGGGGCTGAAAAGGAGCTGCAGCTTTGCAGCCAGGGAAAAGGAGGGAGGATTTGGGAGTTCTCTATTTTGCAGTAAATCAGACCAGATGGTTATTGTTTTCTCACTTTTCTTACTGGTTTATCTGCACTGCTGGAAGTTCACTGCTCGCTCTAAGGGCTCCTACTGGCCAGATGGGAGCAAGCCACAGCAGTAAAAATCAAGAATCTTTGTGCAAAGACCTTCTTATTGTAGCTGGGAACAATGGGCCTCAGTAAAGCTCTTTGGGAGATAGTGTCCCTGGGTGAAGCTGCCAGCCTGGCTGCTCAGTAGGTTTGAAATCAGGGAGTACCTGGGTGCAGAGGATGTGAGGCTATTTGAAAGCAAGGTCAGCTCCATCCCTTCCTTGCTGCAAACTGTGAGGGATGAGCCTGGGGAAGCATGTTAGAGTTGACAGCATCATAATTCTGCCAGAGATAAGTGATGTATGAGCTGGAGCTGCCCAGGCTGCCAAGAAGTGCCTCTGGGAGAAGAGACTTCCTAGGGTTTCTCTGCCTGTGGCTCAGATCTGTCCCTTCTCAGATACATCCTAGGCCACCACTGTGCAGGATGTACATGCAGAGTCTTTCCAGGAAAGCTCCTGGGTGTTTGAGCCTGGGGAAGAAGGTGGATCTCCCAAGTTCACTTCTAGAGCCTCTCATTCATTTGACAGAGCCCAGGAAAAAAAAAAAGACTATGCTGGTTTGTAAGAAGTTATTTGACCTGGTAAAATTTACCTCCTTTTCATTACTGTTTTTCATACAGTGACTAAAACCAGAGATCCTTTTCCTAAAGTGCTTTTAGGCTGCAGGAAGAAAAGTATCAAATATTGAACTCAAACTACTTTAAATGTAGCTGTTAGACCTTAGTTCAGAGGCAGCTAACTAGCAGTGCCAGGTACTGGCTCCAACACAATCCATAAACCCATTTCTTTTCTAAATGTGTGACTTTTCCTCACCCTGCCAGCACAGCTATGGCAGCCAAAGCCCTTGTGTAGCTTCAGTAGACCAGCAAAAAGCTCTTTCAGTCAATATGCTTTATTTTGCCTGGAGACTGAATGTGAACTACAATTAATTTTTTCCTCCCCCAACGTGTTGGGTGATTTACCCTTTATCTCTTTCACTGCACTGTTACAAATGTGAATCTCTGGTTTGTGTACAGAAGATCTTTCCCAGATGGCAAACCCTGCATTTTTGTGAATTCCCTACCATCAAACCATTCTGCTGACTTGCTGTGTCATCAGAAATGGAGCTGTGAAGCTCTAGGCACATCCTCCTCCTCCTCTGCTGAAACACAAGTGTCTGTCTGAGTGACTCCTGTGTCCTTATCATTCTCAACAAGCAGCTGTTTTTCCAAACAGGGAGATCATAGCCTTGCAGGCAGCAAAAGGGACTCAGGTTTGCCAGGCCTAGATGGGGCAAGTGTTCCCTGCCCTTTGGTACAGTATTCTGCTCTTTCTTGCATGGCTTTGTGTGTGTTCCTGCTGTGGCCAAGGCCTGTCCCAAGGAGCAAATCCCTCCAGGGAGAGGATACACGGGAGCAGAGCTGGAATGAGATGTTTCACTTTGGCACTGGGGAAGGATGCCAGTGTGTTGTGCCACCTTCTTCCCAGTTAAAATGACTTTAGATAAAGAGTGTAAACCATGGGAGACCACATGGGGAATGATGATCCCTTCATGCTAACACATGCTCAAAAGTAGCTATGGTTTCTCTCAGCACTTATGGCCCAGTTTGGTTCCTCCTGTGCCTGTGCTGCTGCAGCCCTGTGAGTCCCATTCCCAGATGGGATTTGAAGCTTTCCTCAGATGAACAGCCAGTCCTGCAGAGCACTCTGGGCATCAGAAAGGTGTTGCTGTGTTGGCACACAGCTCTGCCCACAGAGCTCAGGTTGGGTCCAGTGGTTATGCAGGAAGGTTCATGCTCTGCTCCCCAGAAAGGCTCTGCATGGCTAGTAAAAAGAGGTCATTGTTTTATTTTCATTTTTTTAGCCATAGAAAATGCTGCATGTTGGATGATTTGCAGTTGTCCTCAGAGAAACAAAAGGGCAGTAAGCTGTCTCTCTTCCAAAAAGCTAAATTACTTTCAGATGTGCCAAAGAAACCAACTTCTAGCAGCTGGGCCTGCTCCAAGACTTCATATTTACTCCCCTGAGATGTTCTGTTTACCAAGCATCTCCCATCTGAACTGCACAGAGAGCACAGGGCCTGTGTGTATTGAAGGCATTGTAAACTGCAGTGGGTGATTTCTCCAATACACAACTACAACATAACTAGTTAGTAAAGCACTTGCACATCTTTCTGCTTACTCACAAGTAGCAAACCTCTTTTTAGGCTGACATGTCCTTTTGGAATCACTCAAGTGAAACATGGTAGAAAGGTGTGAAGTTTTATGATGGACAAAATAAGTATCCTGAGTGCACAGGAAGGAGAACAAGCCCAGGGCAGAAATCAATTCCATGACCAGTGGTGTTAGGGTGTGCTTTAACAGCAGCTCAGGATGTTTCTAGGTCAAACAACTGCTCTGCACCTTGTCCCCTGTGCTCTTCACCCCCAGACACCTCTGGCAAATGTACAAGTTTCACCTTTTTATGAATAGTTATGGACCAAAATATTGACTTGTGTCTGCAGAAAGCTGTGAGGTTTCTAACTAATGTTACAGGAAAGCACATGAAAAGAAGTTGACCTGTTACACTCTGAGTAGCTGGAGAGGGTAACCTTACTTCACTGCATCTGTTTTATTGGGCATAGGCTATTTTACATATAAAATCAATACAGAATACAAAAAATGTGATGACTGACATTTACAGTAAAAAATGTAAAATTGCATTTTGACCTCTGTTTGCACCAGCAGCTCTCTGCTGTGTGCACATCCTCGTGGCTTCCCACCCCTAGTGAACTTGGAGGCAGCTCTGAGGGAAGGGTCAGTGCATGTGTGCTCTCTGTGGCTCTACATGCAGAAATTCATGTAATTGGAGATCCAAGAGCCTTAAAAAAATCCGGCATGAGAAAAGGCAGCTGAAGTCAGCTATTTCTTCTAAAGTATCTTGAAAGAGTTGGTCATACATAGTCCATTCCTCTTCTCAGGGGTTCTTTCCTTTTCAGTGTTCTCCTCCTGGTCAGTGAGTTCTTCTGGCTTTCTGATTTTTGTTTTGTTTCTTGTATCTCCATCAGAACAAGACAAATATTTTCACTCCCTTTGCATAGTCCACAACTCACCCTATTTCAGTCAGTACAGCAACTCAAGATTTCTTTAAGAAACTAAGTACTGCAGGATCAAATTTAACACAATTAGGACATCATCCAGAAAAAAAAAATTTCTACATCACCTCCCCCAAAACTGAAAAGCACATTTCAACAAAAAATACATTTCCACATCATGCTTTCCATGTATTGTCTGATTGCAAAAACCACTACCTTATAAAGCAGATTATGAAGTTAATGAACTGTGTTTTCAAATCTTTGTTCACATTTTCTTTTTGCTTGTAGGAAAAAAAGGAAGTGTAGATTTATTTTCTGATTTTTTTTTTTACCCTGGGGTGTATTCATGTTGTGTGTGACCTACAGAATCCACTGCCTGCATATTTATTTTTGTGCATACACAGTAAATGGGTTTTGCATGGTAATTAACAGTGTTGTTATACCTTTCATTGTTGTGCTGACTGAGCTTCAGGTTTTTGGGGCTGACACTTAAGTCACTGTCAAGAAAACTGACTCGAAATTCAATTTTGCAGGGACCAGACGGACTGCCAGTAGCAGGATGTTGGCATAAGGTACAGTCATGCTACTAATTGTATATCCTTGAGCAGGTCCTGAGTAATTTTGCTCTCTGCATGGTGACTGTTTGCACTCCTGCACACCCTTTAAGCAGCAGGTTATATGCCTGGCAGACATAAAGTCATGCCTTGGCAGAGCAGGATTCCAGCAGCTTCAGGTCCCCACAGCTGTAGACTGGTGCTGGGAACACCACTCCAAAAACTTGCTAAGCACAAAAAAATCATTGCTGTTAATACAAGCTTGAAGTTAATTCAGGCTTGCTAGGCTTTTATTATGGCCCAGGCAGCTTAGGAACCACTCGTGGAAAGGCTGCACCACTCTGCAACATGTGCTCGTGTGACTTACTCAGCCCATACTCTCTAGCTGAGAATTCCGAGTGGGTTATCTGTTGCAGAGTTAAACATTTCTTTCCATACAAAGACCCTTCTGCCTTTGTCATTATGACCCACAACTATTACACTGCTCCAGTGCTGGACTCAGTAGAGCTGGGTGCAGTACTCAGGGAGTTTGCACTGTGCCATGCACCTGGAACAACAAAGGGTTGCAAGTGCCAACAGCAGCACAGGAGAATGAGGAGACAAGTCCCCTGTAAGATGAGGATTTGATCCAAACTCACAGGAGGACACTGTAACCTCATTCTCTGACCAAGGTGTAACACTGAAGCTGAGTGGAATTACTAACCCAGTAGCAAACAGGTTGTATGTGGAGTTGGAGTTAATTGCAAACATGTTACTAACTGGTTGCAAATCCTTGGTTAGAATGTGAGCACACCCTCAGCATATCAAAGGTGTTAACTCTGTGCAAGTTGTTTGGATGCACTGTTAATATTAAAAAAAATCTGAATGCTAATCCTTATGCTGTTAACAATGAGGTTAGTAAGTGTAATGAATGGAGCATTTCTCTGATTGCAATGTTTGTGTTGTTCTCTTGCAGTGATCTCTAAGCATGAAGCACACTATGTAAATAATGTGACATATTTTGATCTTTTTAATTTTTGTATAAAAAAAGGAAAAAAAAAACATTCAACAGTAATATATTGACCTTTTTTTATACTGGATTCTGACATTTATGGACTTGGAAAATATTGTAAAGCTCCCAAAGCCATAAAATACACATGGTAACAACAGGATTCGAGCAAGGTACTGATGACAGTAGCTGGGAATGAACAGTGGTCACTGCTCATGAACTAACAGCACTGAGCCAGTTGTGTTGCCTCGTGTGCCTTATAGCATGAAGGAGGGAAAAATCCCTGCCCTAACCTGGCTCTCAACTCTGTGTTTGCATTGCACATGCATGTGAAAAGGGTGGAAAAACCTGGCTGAAAACGAAGGGAAAAAGGATGCAGCCCTGAAAAATGAAAGAAGCTGCTGGATACTGTCTGGCCAAACAGGAGAAAGACTTGCAA